TTTATAAAAAAACATGAATTATTATAAATTAAATGGTAAATCATAAATGAATTATTATAAAAAATAATGTATGTGGGTAATATAGTCATTTTGCATTATCAGTCAGCTGTAAAATCAAACAACAATTTCAGTTAAAAGTTAACTCAGTCAGAAGTTCTCACCCAGTCAGCTTCTAACCGAGTCAGCTCTCACCCAGTCAGCAACTATCAAACGACCCCTAAGGGTTGTAGTCATTATACTCTCTTTACTTTTCCCTACTAAACAATACATAAATATATCATTTTATTTATAAACATTTAAAAACCTTAAAATAAATTTGATATATGTTTTATAACTTTTTAAATGGAGTAAATGCTTATAATTTTGGGAAAAAGGAAAAGAAATCGGATATTATATAATTTAATTTTAATTATATAATATAATAATAATATTCAAAACTATGTAGAGGGCAGAGCACGCAGCGAAATGCTTGGAGGTCTGGTATTTGAAGTCATCTCTCTCTCTCTCTCTCTCTCTCTCTCTCTCTCTATGTATACACATATTCTATCTATATGTATATATGTATAAACCAGAATCCATATTTGTCTGTTGTAAGCCACCGTCCGGTCGGCAAAGAAGCGTGAGGTGACCCTTTCTGTCTCCGTCTCTCTCTGTTTTCGCTTAAATTCACTCCACTCTCTTCACCCATTCACATCTCACTCCCTTCTCTCCAACCAAATTCAATTTCAACTCTGGGTTTTTCATCGCAAAAGGAGAAGAAGAGTTATGAATTTGTAGATTCGACTGCATCCATTCTTCATGCTTCAAGGTATGTTTCCTCTTTTGTTAGATTGCCATGGAATTGGAATTGGAATTGGAATTGGGGTTGACGATGTTTTTCATGGGGATTAAGCTTCAACCCACTTAGAAATTTTGTTGTTATAGATCAGAAGATAGGATCGTTTTTGTTTTGTTTATTTAATTTTGGGAATTATCAAGTTTCTGTTGTCTACTATGGCAACCAAACAGCGGGTTTTGTTGTTTTCTGTTGTGTCCTGTTGCTAATAAATCGGGGTATCCATAATTTTACGGAAACTGAACTTGAAACCCACTGTAAAAAATCAAAACTATATTGTAATAGATAATTAGATCAGGAGTTAGTATTGTTTTTGGGAATTCTCAAGTTCCTATTGAAATTTACACTTTGTGCTTTGCGAATTGTTGATTTCATATAAACTTATACGGTTTTTTATTGTGGTTTTACAGTGGTGCTTCGTGTTCTAGATTAAGGATTCGGATTCCGATTTCACGATGATCAGTGTAATGAATTCTGTGAACACTTCCATTAATGAAGTCGGCAAATGCTTGGATTCTCAGTTATGGCACGCATGTGCTGGTGGTATGGTACAATTGCCGCCATTAAACTCCAAGGTGTTCTACTTCCCTCAAGGCCACGCCGAACATGCTGCATCGGGAAACGTGAATTTTGGGGATTTCTCTCGAATTCCACCTTACATTCTGTGTCAAGTTTCCAAAGTGACGTTCATGGCAGATCCCGACACCGATGAGGTTTATGCTAAAATCGGTCTTCTCCCCTTGAGAAACCTCAACGATTTTGATTCTGATGATAATGGGATTCTAGGGTTCGATCAAAACAACCAAAATCAGGAAAACCCAACATCATTCGCAAAGACATTAACTCAATCAGACGCTAACAATGGTGGTGGATTCTCAGTCCCGAGGTACTGTGCAGAAACCATTTTCCCTAAACTCGATTACACCGCAGACCCACCTGTTCAAAACATCTTAGCCAAGGATGTCCATGGGCAAATTTGGAAATTCAGACATATTTACAGAGGCACCCCACGTCGCCATCTTTTAACCACAGGTTGGAGCAATTTCGTGAACCACAAGAAGCTCATAGCTGGTGATTCAATCGTATTTCTTAAATCTGATAATAACGATCTCTGTGTTGGGATTCGAAGGGCAAAAAGAGGAATCAATGAGAATAACGACAAGTTTTTCAGAAACCCTATTGAGAAATTTAATGGCGAATCTGTCTTTGAAGCTGTAAAAATGGCAGCAAATGGTCAACCGTTTGAGGTTTTTTATTACCCGCGTGCAAGTACACCCGAGTTCTGTGTGAAAGCTTCAACTGTCATGGCTGCTATGAGGATTCAATGGTGTCCTGGAATGAGATTCAAGATGGCTTTTGAAACTGAGGATTCCTCAAGGATAAGTTGGTTCATGGGGACAATTTCGTCTATTCACATCAATGATCAACAACTTTCCCCTAATTCTCCTTGGAGGCTTCTTCAGGTATTAATTATAAGTTATAACCCTTTTGCAGAAACACAGATACTTTAATGTTTTTTTATTTTAATTTTTTTTTTTTATAAAATTGAATTGAAGGTATCATGGGATGAACCTGATTTACTACAACATGTGAAGCGAGTCAACCCATGGTCAGTTGAACTCGTATCATCAATCCATCTTTCACCATTTTCACCACCACGAAAAAAACTCCGAATCCTCCAACCACCCGATCTCCCGCCACTAACCACCACCAACCACCACCACCACCACCCGACAAGCATCCAGGGAGCCAGGCAGAACAATTCCCAATTTGGACAAAATAACCATTTGAAACCTTCCCCATTTGAAATCGCGAACCCTTTAACGAGATTCAAGTCAACAAGTCAAACAACTAAAGAAACCGATGAAAACATTTCTTGCTTGCTAACAATGGGGAATACTTTCACGAAGAATGATGACGATGAAAAGGATAAGAGTAAGAATAAGAAGAAACCAATTTTTGTGCTTTTTGGTCAACCGATTTTGACTGAACAACAGCTGTCAGAGAGCTGGTCTGGTGACGTGGCGGCGGCTCCAAATGTCTCTGATGGTTCAGTGGTCCTTCAGAATGGTCCGGTTGAAAGCTCTTCAGATGAGGCGGGTCCATGGTCAAAAAAGTAAAAACAACAAAAATCTACTCGAATGACTTCTTAGCTTTTACCCATATCAAGAGTTGTACAGAATCTTGCTAACCCTTCAGGTATTATGCATTGATATGTTGTACTTTTGTTATTGATTAATGTATATTATAATGATAGTTTTGTGGCTAAATGATAAAAAGTTATAGTTTAGGGGCTAGATTGATAGAAAAGTTGAAACTACATTGAAACAGGAAAAGTACTTTTTTTAAATGGTAAAAAAGAAGTTGAGTAAATTCAAAAATCGATTTGTTATAATGATGTTTTTGTGGCTAAATGATAAAAAGTTATAGTTTAGGGGCTAGATTGATAGAAATGTTGAAACTACAGTGAAAAAGGAAAAGTATTTTTTTAAAGGGTAAAAAAGAAGTTGAATCGATTTGTTATAATGATGTTTTTGTGGCTAAATGATAAAAAGTTATAGTTTAGGGGCTACAATGATAAAAATGTTGAAACTATATTGAAAAAGGAAAAGTACTTTTTTTTAAGGGTAAAAAAGAAGTTGAGTAAGTTAAAAAATGGTCCCTGTGTTTTCTGACTGGTCCAAAACTGAAACCTTTTTTTTAGTTTTGGTCCTTATTTCAAGGTTTTGTGTCTTTATTTTTTTTTCTTATTTCAAGGTTTCATATTGATTTCTATCCTTATTTGAAGGTTCGAGGGACCAAAGTTGATAGGAAACCGTGAAATAAGGACCAAATTTGAAAAATGTTTCAATTTTGGACTACACGGAACAAATCAGAAAGACAGGGATCATTTTTGTAAATGTCTCAAAAAAATATAATGGTATAAGTCGTTACATATTACATTAAAACTAGTTTGTGTTAAAAAAGTATTATAATAGAGAGATATATAATATTTTCATCGATTTAACAAGAAAATCTTAAACTTTATTTTTTGACACATTTACCCTAAACACAAGTTTATTTATTTATTTATTTTTTCTATATTTTACGCATTAAAGATTTAATATACATTCTGAAAATAATATCTTATTGGGGTTATTGCAGTGAGTTCTTGAAGACAGGACAAGAGCTAATAGTTTTAATGGAAGAAGTAGGCAGTGGTAATGTAGGAAGTTAGGAGGTAATTGAATTCTTGTTAATTTTCTTGGATTTGTGGGAAAAAAAGTCCATTTTTCTAGCGATTTTGAGACATTATTATGAATTTAGTTTAGACTTTTGATATTTTATTGATGTGTTTGAAACCCGATTTCTGGTGAATCATTTGGGTGGAATGTTGATGCACAAGTTTGTTGTGGGTTTTGGGGAAGAAATGTCATGCATTTTGCGGCAATTTTTACACTGAAAAAAGGTGTTTCAACTTTCTCAAGTCAAGAGTGATTGTGTTTATGGTTCATGTTTCTGGTGCATATTTGTTGAACCAATTGAAGTTTGAGAAAAACCATGGTGTTTCAAGTTTCAAAATTTTCAAATAAAAAGGATAATTACCATAGTTTATTCGTTTTAGCCGCTTAACTTGTGTTATGTGATATAAAATCACAATTCTTTTTATGGTATAATCTACCATTGTGATCTAGGGTTTTTTTTTTCTTTGTCAAATCTTGTATGGATAAAATGATTGAATGGATTATGAAGTTGTCCAAAATGAAATGTTGTACATAAAATAATAAGTCTAATAAGGAAGACTCTGTGTTTAGAATAAATCTATCTGTTTAATTTTTAATCTTATTAATTTTTATTCAAAAAAAGAAAAAAAAAACAGCATCCAAGTTGTATACGGAAGACTTTGTCTTATGCATTACTCAAGTAATCATCATGTGGTTATGTTAAATGCTATCGTATTTTACCGTATGGTCTATTTTCTTGTAAAAATCAAAACCATTTGTTTGGTATGTAGTTTCTTTTGATGGCAATGACTCCATTAGTCAACCCTATAAATTATCCATCTACTTCCCTCAACCTCTTTGTCTATATATACTTGTTGACTTTAAATATATAACATTTATTAATTTTCCCTTGTTTTCTTGGCCGGTAATTTTCCATTGTTAATACTTAATAGCGTTTTTGTGATATATTAAAGTGCAATATTTACGTTGTTCTTTTGTTAGTTTTAGTAAAAGATATCGATGAAATGAGTTTTTAAAGCAATAAAAATTTTCTTTCAACTTTGTCGTATGAACCATCATTATTGGTGTCAACCTATTGATCAACTATATATACTAAACTAACTGTTTGCTAACAATTATTTTTAATGAAACTGTGTATAGAAAACTAATAAGAGATGGGGATCAAGACAACATAAGTAAAACAAATAGGGAAGTTGAGTAAACTAATTACTTTTTAATGTTATCTTAATAACAATAACTTTTTCTTTTTCGCAAAATGACCACTCGGTCTAGAATAGACTATTCCAGACCAAAATACACAACCCAAATCCAATATTGTAGCTCG